GGCGCCCACCCTCGCCCCTGCCTTCTGCCCCCCCGGCCGCCGGAGAGGGGGCAAAGGGGGAGCGAGTGGGGGCTGCCCCTTGCCAGAGGGGCGAGGGGTTGAGGAGGTGGCGGGAGCGCTGGGAAAGGCCGGAGGCGGGGGGAGAGGTGCCGGACCTGTTTGGCGAAGACGGCGATGTCCTCGTTGAAGGAGTCGGAGGAGCAGACGTCCCCGCCGGCCACGCCGGGCTCCCGAGGTGTGCAGGTCGCCAGCTCGCACTTCTCAAAGACCAGAGCTAAGAGGGGGAACAACGGGTGCCTACCGGGCAGTGGCACACAAAGAGAGGGAGGGGGTGGGGGAGAGGGGGAAAGAAGAGCTCTCATCAACAAGTTTTGTTGTGTTTGGTTGTTTTTTTTCTAATGCACGGACAGAGAGGCACGGACACACGGACACAGTCACACTCTACAGTTTCTCTGTATTGCTTCGGGCAGAGCAGGGGACAGCAATATTTTGAAATGAAACCGCGGGTTTTGGTGTTGTAGGTGTTTGGGCTTTGGTTGTTGTTGGTTTTTTCCTTTTGAAATCGCAATACCCAAGCCGCATACCCTGTGTAGTCCCCACACACAAGGACAAAAGTGACCTCTTCTCTAAAGGCATAAGGCACCAAACACGCTCACGCAAGCAGCAGCTCAGCTGGGAATCTTACATTTTTTTGCCACAGCTTAAAATAACGCGAAACCTGGAAGATCCCATCCCTACCCTCCAGCTATGACCTAAAACGAGAAGCACGGCTAGGCAAACTGCAAACTACTTAATACGTAATTTTATTTTGCAAGGGGCCTGCTAACAAAAATGTGGTGAAGTTTCCTGGCTTAGGAAGCACACCCAAGTAAAATACCAGCTGTCCAGATAAGTGAGCTGGGGAGGGGGCGGAGGGAGGGAGCACTTCGCGAAATATTTTCCCATAGTTGGTGTAGTCAGAAAAAAAATAAAAAAATCTGCGTGCGAAGTAGTGAGTGTGCATTTGTCTCTTTTCCCCTTTGGTTCCTGATCAAGGCCCAACGCTCTGTCATAGATGTTACTATCTCTCTTTTTAGGACTATTTTGTATCTTTTCTAAAAGGCACTGAAGGGAATCGGCGTCATTCCCCCAAGCAATGCCCTGGCACAGGCTTGAGTTTTGTTTAGTACGTGTTGGTTTTTTTCCCCCCTCATGTTCTCTCTTTCCTAAATACAAAATACAGCTCAGTACCCCTAGTGCATTTATTTCTTCTGTTTCAGGGAGAAGCGAATCCCTTTTATTCTAAATACCTTCCACCATGTGAATAGCACTTTATTTACAGTGTTGGAAGAGTGTTATTATGACACGAAGGAGGACACCAGAACAACACTTATCCGACTAAAATCCAGAGCTATGAGAGTCACCTCTCCTGTCTGAACTCCTAACTGAGGCCTTTCCGATAAGACAAAAAACCCACGGGGAAACGACAACAAACAACAATTTAAAAAGGAACTTAAAAATAAAAGCAGAAAAAAAAAATATTAAAAGTCAACAACACCCCCCCCAGCCCAGCTTCTCTCCCTTAGAAGACTGTTTTTCCAGGACCCGCTTCCATGCGTGCTGCACCTCAGCTAAGAATCAGGCTGGATTTGCACTCGCCCTGAAATTGCCATCAGTGGCAGTGCCACCACGCGGATCCCCCTCCGTAGCCGGTGGCT